GCTCGGGCAGGTGGGGTCAGCAGCCACCTCCCGCGCACCTCACCCGCCCGGCTTGCTAGAAATCTTAGCGTCAAATAAAAGGTTTGCCCAGTACCTTCGTGCTGCCGCGGCGTGGTCTCCCGCGTGGAGACCGGAGACCCTCTGTGCAAGTGGCTGCCAAACGCTGTGCTGTGCCCTGCCTGGTGGTCCTCGTAGGCGAGGGCACTTTGGTGGGGCTTGCCCGGCTCCGGTACAATCACAGGAGCCCCTCTGGCGATGGAGCCACCCGAGTTTGTCACTGGGCTTGGCCTGTTTTTCAGGCTCTCTTCATAAGCTCTTTCCAGGTTCCTCGGGTCTTGGATGACATCCAGTGAGTGCACAGAGTGAAAAGTCCTGCCGGGACTGCCGATGATGGACCGCACATCGTGCTTTTTGGTACTCGAGGAGGAAGAGCCGCTGTCATACTTCAGTGGGGTACCCTGAGGACAGAAGGCAGATGGGACGTCAAAAGGCGTAGGGCAGAAGGGGATGCAGTGACCGCATCCCACCGGTTTCAATGGGACTCGTGTTTCCTCGTTCAGTGGGTCAGTACACCGGTTTACTTGGTCAAACGGCAACAGCCATCGGCAAGGCAGAGATAATAGCTCCGCACGGCGCAGGGCAGGGTGGAGCGCCCATCTTGCATGTCTTGTTGTGCTTCAACAAGATGATGGTGAGTCACTGCCGAAGGCTGGCTGTGCCCATCACGCCTCTCTCCTACACACACTGTGAAATGAGGTAGGACTATGAGGTGCCATGGGAACCCTCCAAATATTTGGAGCCCAACAGGAGACAGCCTGCCACGTTTCATCCGAACTGCTGGCCTTGCTGGGTTGACACTTGCCCATAAAGGGAGGAGACCAAGATTGTGTGCACCCAGAGTCACAACTGCCCAGGGCACCGAATTGACTCTGGCCTTGAACAAGAGCCAAACGCGTCCCCTTCCGTGTACGCATGTGGATGGAGCACCGCTTTCTTAACGTGCCGGGGTGCTCAGCTCCCTTCCCTGGGTTTTGTATTTATCCACTGGGAAGGATCATAGAATGGTTTGGGTTGGAAGGGACCGTTAAAGATCAAAGGATGGGGAAGGGCAACCTGTATCCAAGCAAAGCCTCAATTGTCACCAGCGATGTGTTTGCATCCCGAAGCCCTCTCTGCTCTCCTTTTACCCTGGGAATGGTCCCCAGGGTCTGGGCAAGGACAGCAGCCTGAGTAGGACCGATCTCGTCTGCTGTTCACCCAATACTCACCTGCGTGATGGAGCCTTCCTTCAGAGGTCTCGCCAGAGAGATGTCTGGCGTTCGCCTCAGCTCCTCTCGGGGAATCTCATGGATTGATCTTCCCGCTTCTTTCACCGTGGCCACCAGGCCTTCATGGGCTGGTTTCATTTTCAGAGGAGTAAGGCCTTCATGAGACCTGACCTTGTAGGCATCAGATAAGTCCCTCGGGGGAGTGTTTTCCCTCTTGAGCTGTTTGGCTTCTCTTCTGAGGTAGTCCTCATGGGCCTCCACGTAGGACCGAGGTATTCCTGCAACCCCCAAGCAGACGATGGATGCAGAGGGTGATTCCCCAGCCAGACACCGGACTCCCAGTCCCCACGTGGATGCTCAGTTCAAGGGGGTCTCTAGGTAGTGCATGTAACTCAGGGACTGGTACACAACTGAGCACACAGAGCAGCTGTATCACTAATGCAGCTGGGTCACCTCACAGCTACCACCACTTTCTGGACCCATTCTGCACTAGTTTCAACCTGCCTTCATGTGAGTCATGGAGAATTTCACCCCGACTTTGGCGAGAGCTTAGGTTGGTAGAAGCTGAGCAAGACTGAAAAGTCTCTCTGAGCACAAAGCTGAGGCTGCAGAGATCTGCAGCTGGACCTTGACGCGTCCACCCTTGTTTCCTCCTGCCCTAGCCTGACAACAAGAGCAACTAGCCTGACAACAAAGATACTCCCCCACGTTACCTCTGGCCGTGGCCATCCTCTGCTTGCAGGTTTTACCTTGTGTAATTGAGCCCCGCATGTGATGCTGCTCCTTTAGGTTATGGGGGCTGTGTCGGTCTGGAGGGATCGCTCGACCCATGAGACCTAGAAGGGGGAAAGTTGTGTTGTGACACAGGAGTTCATTTACAATTAATACACAATAACAGTGTTACCAGGGACTCCTGGAACAACAAGGGAAAACATCAACAATTTCTAAATTACTTGATTTCTCTTTTTTTTTAACACATGCTTCCTTCTTTTGTAGTCCTGAAACTGGTCTACCAGGACAGAAACCAAAGGCAAATGGGCCAGTCTGGGTCCCTTTTTTCCCATGCTGGTCAGACGCTGTCCTGTTGGGATGTGCTGCAGGGTACCAGCTAACCACAGCCAAAACACAGGCACGGGAAGGTGCATCATGTAGACAAGAGACAAGATGGGTCTCTGCAGGTGACTACTAACACGTGGGTGAAAGGTTTCACCCAGACCCACCTTCAATGCTGGCAGATAAGGTCTCACGGGCTGATAAGCCCCGGCTGATCCTCCCCTCCATCATATCGTAGGTTCGCTTGGTTCCTGTGGTCTCATGCGAAGCTCCCGAGCTCCTGCTGTCTTCTTTGGGACACTGAGAAGCAGCAACTCCACCTGGGGAACGGAACACCGAGAAGCACCATCAGGAGCACGGAAAGTCAGCACCGGCCAAGGGAGGGTGTTTACTGCTGTCTGCCTGCGTCGCTGAAAGGTCGGATCCCATCCCGGCATCAGCCACCGCCTGGCAACGCCAGAAGCGTCGCACCAGGTTGGCTTCCAAGAAATCCAGCTGGTGTTTTCTCCCCTCCCTGCCTGCCTCAGACTCCAGATCTGTGCCTCCCGCGCGGGCAGGAGCATCCGCCCTGTCGTGTCCCGCGCCCTCCGTCCCCGGTGGGGGCCAGACGTAGGCAGCGGGACAGCCCGGAGCCCGCGCGGCACTGGTGTGAGCAGCTGCGGTTCCACGGAACTTGGCCCTGTGGGTCTGGGGATTTTTATTTTATTTTTCCCTGTTTGTTTTCTTTTTTGCTAGACACCTACTGTATGGGATCATGGCCAGCCTTAACATTTCCCGAGACACTCCCCGGGTGAGAAAATCAGGAGAAAGGGGGAAGAGGCAAAGCTGAGAATGATCCCTTTGAAACGGCGGTGAGCCTGCACAAGAATTGGGACGGTCGGCGAAAAGTCCCACGCAGGACTGCCGGGGCAAGCGCCCGCGTGACGGGAGGCCACCGACCACCTCTCTGTCCAAAGGTGGAGCAGATGCCAGGCAGCATCACGCCTGCCCCGGGCGACGGGCATCCATCATGTGCGGCGAGCTGTGCGTTCAGCAGCAGCTTCTGATCCAGCTGAACGTCTCGTGCTTATGTAACGAGCTCCAAACGGGGACGTTGGCTTGGAGAGCGTTGGCTTGGAGAGATAACCGCCTCTGCCCGTCGTCCCTGGCCTGGCTGCCCCTGCCAAGGATCGCCGGTGCCCTGATCCTCCTCTTTCTGGGCAGAGAAGGTGGTTATACAATTAGAGAAAACGGAGGAGAAGTTAAAAACATCCTTTCCGTCGCGAACAACTGGGAACAAAAGTCCTCCTTGGCAAAACTAGCAATTAATAAAACGGGATCATTACAACTTCACACGCGCTATCGGTTTCTGCAGTCAGCACCCACTCAACGCAGAACGGGTTTGGGGATGTGTGCGGGGAAACAAGAGGGGGAACTGTCCCCGAGCCTTCACTTCAGATTCGTTTGACGGGAGAAATCTGGGGGTGATGTTCAGAACCAGCCAAGCACCTTGCGGCAGACGCAGGGCGACGTGCCTGCACCCTGTCATCGAGGCACATCTGTTGCCAGCAGCCCTCCTGCAGAAGGGGACGCAGTCCCAGGCCCCCTTTGTGCCGCTGGGAAGCAAGGGGAGGGCACGAGGGAGAAGAGAGACTAAACAGAAAGAAAAGCACTCCAAACCCACGTCCCGTGCCTTGCAGAAGCCATCAGCAATCATATGCGGAATGAGAATAACCAATCTAGCCCAATTCAGCTCGCACATGCTACAGGATCTCGTCTCATTACAGCCCTTTTATTTTAAGCACCCTCATGACACTGAAGAATTTGCAATTTTTTTTCTGCTTGCCAAAATTCATGATCACCAACAATTTCAGTTTTCTTATTTAATTTTTTTTTTTAACTCTTCCGCTCCGGGCTGCGAAGCCTTGCCGGGCTCTACGTGAGGAAGGAGAGAGGCAGCAGGACGGGTGAGGCTGCGGGAGCACGCGAGATTACTCAGGATGCGATAAATGCAATCAAGCACGTAAAAGGCTGCTGTGGAGAGGAAGGAATTAATTCCTCATCTGTGTTCACAGGGGGTAGGACAAGAGGCGATGGGCTCAGGCTGCAGCCGAGGAGACTCGGGCTGACACCAGCAAGTGCGTGCAATGGGAAGAGTTTGGTCTGCAGCTCTCCTCCGCCGCCCGGAGC